TCGGTCCAGTTCTGGCTAGATTTTCGCTTCTTTTTCTGAAAGCTGAACTGGTCGTTGCCAGGTTCAGGGAAGTCAGCCTGGATTTCAAGACGTTCGAACCAAAAGCCGCCAGTTGTTATGACTCAAAAAGATACTGACAGAGCCAAAAGAAACAAATCCAGGGCAGGGCGGTCGTTTTTTTAGAGTTATACCAAACCCATTTCAGAGCCCTGGATGATCCAGCCTCCGGTGTCGCACCGCCGGGTTGCGTCTGTCAAAGCCAAAGTTGCAGGAAGCGAGCCCACGGATCCCACAGTGTCAGTAGCCGTGCAGGGGGTTAAAAACACCCGCAAGGTTCTTGGATATCAGCCCGTGTGATTTTGTTGTGCGAATAGCCTTCGGACTCGATACAAAAGGTACGAAGACTGTGAGCGGGAGGTGAAAATAACCTCAATAAAAGTGGGGTTTCCGAATTGGAGGTGGGGTTGCAAAGCAGGATGGTTGGGGTGATGGATCCATCCACACCAGACAAGCAGCCAAAACAGACGAAGTACCGATACTTTCAGAAAATGATACTGTAATGGAGTTTTGGGCATTTTTATTTTCGCGCTGACGATGCATGTTGCTGTCAAGCCCTGTGTCGTGGGTGTCGCTGTCGGCCCTGTCGTGCCTGTGCCCGGATCTATCTTCGCGATATGCAATGGGTTTGCCGGCCTGGAATCGCCCGAACCAATGACCGGCCCCGGATTGACCCATTCATTTTGATCCATCCCCGTTGCCGGTCCCCGGACCAATACGGGCGCCGAAGAATCCCCCACTCCTTGGTTGCAGGAGCCGACTTTCTCACCATCAAACCACGTCAAATTGCTTTTGGTTGATGGTGGGTAGAGCTCCCCAACACCTTGAGAACTTGTCTAAGCTGATCATCGTTGCCTGGCTCCACAAAGAGGCAATATGAGCCAGTGGGAGGGGTTTGATAACAGGTGTGATAAACGGCATTCTCATAGTGCGGGGTTCTGTTTCGGCGCCGGGCCATTTCTTGCGAACATTGTAGATGCCAAACAATTCAATCCTGCCGTGCCTCTTACTCAATATATGTATGTCGAAAATTTTATGGCTCTACCACAGAATTCCGGGGGATATATCTTGAGGGTTATGACAAAGCAAGCAGAAAACGCAAGCATACTGCTCGAATATGTGCTTTTTTTGCCCGCAGAAAAGAGTGGGGGATACAGCCAGAGAGCCCGGGGCAGTGTAAACTCGATTCTTATAATGCTATGCCTTTTTCACCCATCAAGGACAGAGAGCTGGAGCGTGGGGACATTCAAATCACCGTCGTGCATCCTAAATCTGGTGGCCATGAATGTTGCAGTGTACTTCTGGCATGCAACATGCATGCCTCTTCGCGGCTCACTGCTCAGTTTCCAGGCTCTACAGAAGGAAATACTTACTAGTTCTATCCTACCTCGACCTTCTGTGGTATGATGACATGCCGTTGCAAAGCGCTATTATAAGGAGATAAGTGAGTTCCAAGTCACAAGCTTTGAGTCACCAGACCACCCTCTTGGGTTGCGGAATTTCCTTGATAGGGATGCTTGGAACTGATAGACTCGAGAAAGGAGTGGGCGGGCTAGGGATCTGAGAGGTACATACATGTACAACACTTACGTAGGTACTGTACCAACATTTCTTGTCGACGTACCGATAGCCCGCGGCCACAACAGACAATCTTAGCAAGTGGAAGCGATGCCGTCAAAGCCATGATAGTGATCCCATACAAAGCGATGATGAATCCGTGAATGAGGTTCTTGCAAGATGCGACTGGCAGGTTGACTTACAACGAACATCCCTGCTGAAGCTGGGTAAAGTTTTGACCATTTTTTTAGGTCCCGCTCCGGTTGAGGAGCTCTCATGGATGGCGAGTCTGACTCTTTTCTCACTTTTCCATATCGCTAGACAAAAATCCCCTCACAGACCCCGTCCTCGTCCAGGCCTCTCCCTCTTCGAAAGTCCTGCCCCCATCAATTTTGCCTTCTTTGCTTTTTTTTCTGTTCGGCGAAGGAGTGTGCCTCTCTCGCTGTAGCTTCTGGACCGCCCTATGCGCTTCTGTGTATATCAGTAAACGTAAAAACTTCCTTTTTGAGTTGCGAATAAGCTCAGCCCCGGAAGCTGTCCGGCCCCCCTGTTAGTAGTTAGTTTTGTATAGTCCGAGCAGCAAAGTACCCATCTAGATTTAACCGGAGCTCTGTGAGCTTGTCTCGGTACATCTGGTACCCGCCAATTCAACCTAGTCTGTCTAGCCGCTGTTTGGCTGCAGCACGTCGCGCCGTAACCCTGATAACCCCACTACCGGGACAGACCCCGCCGACCTCGTCATTGCCTCAAGACTCAAGTAGCTCGCTCCCCCTCCACAATCCCTACCTCACCAGCTTTTCTCTTCTCTACACACCACGACCTTGCGTCAATTGAGTCAAGATGGCCTCCGACAAGCCTGCCGACCAGTATGAGGAGGTGTTCGAGGAGGGCGATGTCCCCAAGGAGGCCCAGACCGTCCACCGCATCAGGGCCAACTCGACTATTATGCAGTTGAACAAGATCCTGGGTCAGTCGCATTCGCATTCCATAAAGAGACGGAACGTGCTTGGTGTGCGATTGCTGGCTACTCGCAAGAGCTGTCGCGATCAATCGAGCCTCTGCGCGCAAAAGTCTATGAAGCTACATGGAAAAATGTACTAACGTCGGGTTTTCCTGGGAAACAGTTGCCAACCGTGGTGAAATTCGTAAGTACTTACCTGCCCTCATGTCACATGTTCCCGAGCGATGCGCTAACAGTGACATCCAGCCATTCGTGTATGTCCAACCGCCATGAACACTCAAAACATGAGATGAAAATCGATACTTACTTCCGATACCTCTGTACAGATCTTCAGAACTGTGAGTTACCAATATCTTCCCCGTGCATGTCTTTGCTGTGGGCGTGGCTGACGTTTGGAACTGCGCAGGCTCACGAGTTGTCTCTTCACACCATTGCCGTCTTCAGGTAAGCGCTTCTTCCATACCATACTCTACTCCCTTCTGTTCGATCAGCTTCTAACTTTTACCAGTTATGAGGACCGTCTCTCCATGCACAGACAGAGTATGCGCGATTTTACCCTCTCCCAATATCCCTTCGTCGATTTAGCCCAGGCCAGCGGCAGCGCCTTGGCTGGCGTGCGATAAAGCTACAGCTACAGTTACTGATACTAGGAATACAGAGGCCGATGAGGCGTATGTCATTGGCAAGCGTGGACAGTACACTCCCGTTGGTGCTTACCTCGCTGGCGACGAGATCGTCAAGATTGCCGTCGAGCATGGCGCCCAGATGATCCATCCCGGTAGGACAGACCCGGTCACCTGAAGGCCCTGAGGTCGTATTGTACTGATCCTCCCATAGGCTACGGTTTCCTCTCTGAGAACGCCGAGTTCGCTCGCAAAGTCGAGAAGGCCGGCCTTATCGTAAGTTGCCCAGACCGCGCCTAGCTAGAGCGCGGGGTTCATATGGTTCACCCAATGAGGAGTGCATGAGCGCTAACTTGTTCTCTAGTTCATCGGCCCTTCGCCCGAAGTGATCGACGCTCTTGGTGACAAGGTCTCTGCTCGCAAGCTTGCCATTGCCGCCGGTGTCCCCGTCGTCCCTGGTACTGAGGGTGCTGTCGAGACCTTCGAGGCCGTCAAGGACTTCACCGACAAGTACGGCTTCCCCATCATCATCAAGGCTGCCTATGGCGGTGGTGGTCGCGGTATGCGTGTTGTCCGTGAGGAGGCTTCCCTGAAGGAGTCTTTCGAGCGCGCCACCTCCGAGGCCAAGAGCGCCTTCGGCAACGGCACCGTTTTCGTCGAGCGCTTCCTCGACAAGCCCAAGCACATTGAGGTCCAGCTTCTCGGTGACAACCACGGCAACATTGTCCACTTGTACGAGCGTGACTGCTCCGTCCAGCGCCGTCACCAGAAGGTCGTCGAGATTGCCCCCGCCAAGGACCTCCCCACCGAGACTCGCGATGCCATCTTGGCCGATGCCGTCAAGCTCGCCAAGTCGGTCAACTACCGCAACGCCGGTACCGCTGAGTTCCTTGTTGACCAGCAGAACCGCTACTACTTCATTGAGATCAACCCCCGTATCCAGGTCGAGCACACGATCACTGAGGAGATTACCGGTATCGACATTGTCGCCGCTCAGATCCAGATCGCCGCTGGTGCTACTCTTGAGCAGCTTGGTCTCACCCAGGACCGCATTACCACCCGTGGTTTCGCCATTCAGTGCCGTATCACCACTGAGGATCCTGCCAAGAACTTCCAGCCCGATACTGGCAAGATTGAGGTCTACCGCAGTGCTGGTGGTAACGGTGTCCGTCTCGACGGTGGCAACGGCTTTGCCGGTGCCGTCATTACTCGTGAGTTATTCTCCCTTCCCTCTCATACCCCGAAACATTCCCTCAAAACTCCAAGACCTCAAATGCACCACTTGATGAGTTTTCAACTCCCAATGAGGCATTCCCAGTATTTCTCGATGCATTCTGTCACCCATCAGATGCATTAGGAACCAGGGTAACGGCATCAAACCCTTTCCCCCATGCGTTTTCGAATCAGCTCAAGGCCTTGTTGAATCAAGAAAATGCATGCAACATTCAAAACAACACCTCAATTCCCAGACTGTTGTTTTACCAAAGGCATTCTCGCTGCGAACAAATGGCAGGTGTTTGGACCACTAGTGTGGGTCCAGTCCAGAAGATCCACAAAATCTCAAGGGGTGGACCGTGCGCCGTGTGCAGCCTTTCGAGCCTCGACGCATCAACATATCAACACCCTCGCCGTCGTCACCTCAAATCATCACCACCACCTATTGATATCATGTCACTAACATGGAGGTACTTTAGCGTTCTACGACAGGTAAATTCCTACGCAATTCTTAGTCTGAGTCACGTACTAACCCCTTCGAATCCAGCATGCTTGTCAAGGTCTCTTGCCATGGCTCGTAAGTCATCCCACAGTCTTGATGTCTTCATAAGACTTGTATTAACTTAATTTACTATCCAGGACCTACGAAATCGCCCGACGCAAAGTGCTCCGTGCTCTCATCGAATTCCGCATTCGCGGCGTCAAGACCAACATTCCTTTCCTGGCTTCTCTCCTGACTCACCCGACTTTCATCGACGGCAACTGCTGGACTACCTTCATTGATGATACTCCTTCGCTCTTCGATCTTGTGGGCAGCCAGAACCGTGCTCAGAAGCTTCTTGCTTACCTCGGTGATGTTGCCGTCAACGGCAGCAGCATCAAGGGCCAGATCGGTGAGCCCAAGTTCAAGGGCGATATCATCGTTCCTGAGCTCCACGATGCTTCCGGCCAGAAGATCAATGTCACCCAGCCTTGTACCAAGGGCTGGCGCCAGATCATCCTCGAGCAGGGCCCCAAGGCCTTCGCCAAGGCTGTCCGCAACTACAAGGGCTGCCTTCTCATGGACACCACCTGGCGTGATGCCCACCAGTCTCTCCTTGCTACCCGTGTTCGTACCGTCGATCTGTTGAACATTGCCAAGGAGACCAGCCACGCCCTCCACAACCTGTACTCTTTGGAGTGCTGGGGTGGTGCCACCTTCGATGTCGCCATGCGTTTCCTCTATGAGGACCCTTGGGACAGACTCCGCAAGATGCGCAAGCTTGTGCCCAACATTCCCTTCCAGATGCTCCTCCGTGGCGCCAACGGTGTTGCCTACGCTTCTCTGCCCGACAACGCCATTGAGCACTTCGTCGAGCAGGCCAAGAAGAACGGTGTCGATATCTTCCGTGTCTTCGATGCCCTCAATGACATTCACCAGCTCGAGGTTGGTATCAAGGCTGTCCAGAAGGCTGGCGGTGTTTGCGAGGGTACCGTCTGCTACAGCGGTGACATGCTTAACCCTACCAAGAAGTACAACCTTGAGTACTACCTCAAGCTGGTTGACGAGCTTGTCGCTCTCGACATTGATGTCCTTGGTATCAAGGATATGGCCGGTGTTCTCAAGCCCCACGCTGCCACCCTCCTCATCGGCGCCATCCGCAAGAAGTACCCCGACCTCCCCATCCACGTCCACACTCACGACTCCGCGGGTACCGGTGTCGCTTCCATGGTTGCTTGCGCCATGGCTGGTGCTGATGCCGTTGATGCTGCCACTGACAGCTTGTCTGGCATGACCTCCCAGCCCAGCATCAACGCCATCATTGCTTCGCTTGATGGCACTGACAAGGACACTGGTCTCAACGTCCAGCACGTCCGTGCTCTTGATACCTACTGGTCTCAGCTTCGTCTCCTCTACTCGCCCTTCGAGGCCCACCTCACTGGTCCTGACCCGGAGGTCTACGAGCACGAGATCCCCGGTGGTCAGCTCACCAACATGATGTTCCAGGCTTCCCAGCTTGGCCTCGGCTCTCAGTGGCTCGAGACCAAGAAGGCCTACGAGGAGGCCAACGACCTCCTCGGTGACATCGTCAAGGTCACCCCCACCTCCAAGGTCGTTGGTGACTTGGCTCAGTTCATGGTTTCCAACAAGCTGAACAAGGATGACGTCTTGGCCCGCGCTGGCGAGCTCGACTTCCCCGGCTCCGTTCTCGAGTTCCTTGAGGGTATGATGGGTCAGCCCTACGGCGGTTTCCCCGAGCCTCTCCGTACCAAGGCTCTCCGTGGCCGTCGCAAGCTCGACGCCCGCCCCGGTCTCTTCCTCGAGCCCACCGACTTCGCCAAGGTCCGCAAGGAGCTTGCCCGCAAGTTCGGCAGCGTCACCGAGTGCGATGTTGCCAGCTACGTCATGTACCCCAAGGTCTTTGAGGACTACAAGAAGTTCGTGGCCAAGTACGGTGATCTCTCCGTCCTTCCCACCAAGTACTTCCTGTCCAGGCCCGAGATCGGCGAGGAGTTCCACGTCGAGCTCGAGAAGGGCAAGGTCCTCATTCTCAAGCTCCTTGCTGTCGGCCCTCTCTCTGAGAACACCGGCCAGCGTGAGGTGTTCTACGAGATGAACGGTGAGGTCCGCCAGGTTACCGTCGACGATAACAAGGCGTCGGTCGAGAACGTCAGCAGACCCAAGGCCGATCCTACCGACTCCAGCCAGGTCGGTGCCCCCATGGCCGGTGTCCTCGTCGAGCTCCGCGTCCACGACGGTACCGAGGTCAAGAAGGGCGATCCTCTAGCCGTTCTCAGCGCCATGAAGATGGTACGTTATCCTCCCTGCTCTGCAAATGTCTCATTACTAATCCGTGTTATGTAGGAAATGGTCATCTCCGCTCCCCACAACGGTGTTGTCTCCACCCTCGCCGTCCGCGAGGGTGACTCCGTCGATGGCTCTGACCTCGTCTGCCGCATCGTCAAGCCCGGCGACAAATGAGCAACTGGATGATTGAATGACGGACTGTCATTCCAATCCTCACAGACTCGAGAAAAAAGAGGCAGTTCGAGTGTCACGCAACAGAGCTACCAACCAAATTGTGTTTATTCTTCCACGACGAGACGAATATTTTTCAAGCGAAAAGAGAAACGGCACGTCGTTGTTCGGAGTCCGGCCGGGTTATTGTTACTACTTGGGAATGGTTATGTTGGCGAATGGATTCTGATACGAAGAGATGGATGGATTGATGGATGGATGACATGGATGACATGAAATATCAACCCCTCCGCGAACACAATTTGGGACACATCGAGGGACGCCGGGCCGGGCCAACTTAGGAGCCCAGGCAGCGTGCAGCAGAGTGAAGCTTGTAGCACTCGATACCTCATGTATACATGAAATAAATTAAGATTTCATTACATGGCAAACCCTCAGGTGTTCTCTTTAAACAGTTTGGCTCAGCGGTTGTACCTGCAAACATTTAGAGTTCAAAGAAATATGACCCCGACATGTGTCTCTGCCCTCCACCGTCGGTAGGTGCCTGGGTACTACGATGAACCATGAAGTATATCACCCAACTGTCCCACCTGGGGCAATGGATCGCTAGAAGGGCATTACACTTTATTGTTCACTGTACTCCCCCGACCCCGTGTAATGCAAGTAGCACCATGGCTGGCATTAGGTATCGTGTGCCAGACTGTTCAGACGACTTGTAAACTGCACTAGCATCACAACCCTCGCTGCGAACCTAGGGACATGTGAAGCACGAAATGAATACAACCTTACATTGCCCATAGCAGAGAGGCGGCAAGCGAGTGAACATAAGGAGTGAGGTGGGACGGGACGACTCTGGCGTTCTGGCTCTGCGGCGAGCCTCCGGTGTCTTATTCCGTTTGGCACGTCAGGCTGCTGTTTTCAGATTTCGCCATCGCCGTGATTTTGAGGTATCTTACAACCCAAAACTGCAGTTCACTCCCATTTTTTTGCCTCTTTTCAGGACCCGTGAATGGAAAGAGACTTAGAGGGTCGATGTTGAGCTTAGATTGTAGGCATCAACGAAAGCATGCGCAGACATGAGCTACTTGATTGCCTGAACCAAGAACGAGCTTCTCCAAGCCGCAATAGAACACATGAGCAGTCAACAGCCGGGGCTGTGGCACATTTTGTTCTGATGGACGGCAGGCATCGTGCTCCGTAGAATGAAGTGTACACGAATAGGTATTCGGTCTGTACGATTGCCCACGAGCTTGCACAGTTTGGACATCGAGGACGTCGCTACACTTGGCAAAGCACTCATTCATCGACAATGGCGAAGCACTCATATCACACCATAATAAAGCATATCGTCGAAGTAGGTATGTACGCCCAATCATTGCGACCCTTTCCATTGTTGCCAAAGGCAAGGAAAGCACCGCACCCAAGATTGTTCACTATTGTCTTTTCTCCATTCTGTTCGAAATCGATGAATTGGTCCTGGGTCAGCTCCGGCCGAAGCCGGGGACCTCGCATCCAAGTTGAGTTCCGAGAATGTGATATAATGCGTTGTAAAAATTGGAGAAAAAAAGAAGAAAAAGTCCAAAAGCGAAAAAGTTTTCGGCTTCTTTTATGGACGGGCAGGAGGCAAGGGACGTGCACGTCAGAAACTGGTGGGTTGTGGCTTGCCAGCGCAAGTTGAGGTGGGGCCCAGCCTGGCGGGACGTTTCGCGCTGCCAGGAACCAAAACACCAGCCACAGCAAGCAAGCGCCGCATCCGCCCAGGCCGCCTGACTTGTCCACATGCCAAGACTCTGGAATGCGGCGGGCAGAACACAGTGGGTCCGGCTATGGAGATTGGACGACGCATGGGAACCTCGTCAATGTTACTGCCCCTTCCGAATGCCGGGCGAGGTCCCGACCATCTGAAAGTGTGACTGACGTGGTGACCAAGTTCCGCAACGACATCATACCCATACCCAGCTCCAATCTCCCAGAAGCTCCAGAACTTCCCGTACTCTCCCGTTCAACAACATAACTATCGTCGTTTCGTCACAATATCTCTTCGACCGCACCCCTTCCTGCCTCTCAAAGTATACGCAACGTACCAAAAGCCAAACCGCCAAAGACAAAGACAATGAACACTGCGCAATCCCTCCCACGATTCCTGCTCCCGCGGTTAAGCTGGCAAGCTCCTCTTTCGCCCAACGTGCCCAGAACGATTCCCTCCATCCTCCTACAAGCTCACGAGCAACAATCACGAACATGGCAATCCCTCTGCTCTTCGCGATCATTCCACTCGAGCCGGTCGACTGATCATGCCCAATGTACCGCACCGAGCAAAAACAATTTGAAGCCGCGATCCCTTAACACCATTGCGCGCAACCCGTCCCTAAGACGCTCATTCCATGCTTCCGCGGCACGAAGGCGCGACCACCACTTCGACACGCTCAAGTTCGTCCAGCGCCTACAAGAAGATGGGTTTACAGAAGAGCAATCGGTAGCAATGATGAAAGTCCTAAACGACGTAATCGAAGAAAGGTAAAGCTCCCTTGACTGCCTCCGTCTCCGCCCCCTTTTCCTTTCTGGGCCCTTTTCCCCCTCTCCGAATCCGAGACTAACTACTCCTCTTCCTTCTAAGCAGCATACAAAACCTGACCCGAACCATGGTCCTCCGTGAAGATGCCGCCAAAGCGACCTACACGCAAAAAGTCGACTTCGCCAAGCTGCGCAGCGAGCTGCTATCGGCTGACAGCACCGAGTCCAATTCCACGCGGGCGGCGCACGAGCGTCTGACCAACGACATCGCCAAGCTCAACAGCCGGCTGCGCGACGAGATCGGCCGCACGCAGGCTAGCGTCCGGCTCGACCTGAACCTCGAAAAGGGCCGCATCCGCGAGGAGGCCGTGTCGCAGGAGCTCAAGATCAAGGAGACGGAGACCAAGATCGAGCAGGAGGTGGCGGCGCTGAGGCAGCAGTTGGAGCAGGTCAAGTTCCAGACGCTACAGTGGCTAATGGGTGTTTGCACCGGTTTTGCCGCGCTGTTGCTTGGTGCTTGGCGTTTGTTGATGTGAGGTGGTTATTGAAATGATCGGAAGGGTGTGGTTTGGTGTTGCTGGGTTGGGAGTCTTTTGTTGCATGGGAGAGAGTTGCTGTGATACCTATGGTATAGCTTCTGAGCGCTATGCTTGCTTGTTTTGTTTATTAGAAATCCATGGAATACCTTTGTTACAAACTACCACGTTGGAGTCAAGTCTTATTTGCTGCTTTCCTTTGAGTATATCATCGGCATCGGACAAGGTATGTGAATCATGGCCATGTTTTCCTTGCTCGGCCCAAATCCGAACAGTCACGGACAAGCGTCTTGTACCCATATGCCTCCTGACTGCAATAGCATTGCACATCATGAGTAATCATTGACGAATTCCCCTGAACAGGAGCTTACTTTAGGTATCAACCCCTCCTGCGACGCTTCAAACTTTGTAGGTATTGTTGACGTCGACATTTTTCAGGGGTAATACTCGGACCAACGGAAGGGGTCAGATCTCCGAGTTCCACACCGCGTACAAAGCTGGAAGGTTACATCCATGTAAGCTTAATTTGTCACGGTTGCCACGGAAGGGGTCTTCTGACACTTGAAAGCAGCCAATGCTAAAATCACTTACAACTGCGGATATGAGATAACCTTCAACTGGTTGAAGGAGAAGTCAACCTCACGAACTTGCAGAATGAAGTGCTTCGCAGAGTCCCTTTCACGAACAAAGACCACATAAACGGATCAACTGAACAGTCAACGCTTTTTTCATCATGAAAACATCCACTGGTTCAAAGGGGAGATGCAACGCCGACCATCTGGTTTCTCTCTTCTTTATCTGAGTAGAGGCTTTGGGAGCCCCAAGAATGAATATAGCCAAGCGCAGCAACATCTCCTCGCCCTCCTTCAGTTCCTTGTTTCTATTCCCTTCAACCGCCTGCTGAAAAGGACCACACCATTACATACAACCAAACCAACCCTCACACTTCATCTTAATACTCTTACAATCGTTACGTACACCAAACTAACCCTCGCACTTCATCTTGATACTCTTACACCTAGCACAAGGCGTCGGTCCAGTTCCATCCCCAGTCCCATCCCCGTTACCATCCCCATTACCATTACCATTACTCAACACGATACAAGGCAAGAACTCATCGCCCCTCTGACGCCTCGCGAAACGTCCTATACCGACACGTGCTACTGTACCCATTCCCATACCCCCACCCGTATCTGTACCTGTCACCCTCCCGGCAACAACAGCAGCTACCTCATCAAGTTGTCTCTGTCTCCGAGCGCACGAGTGACAAGGGCCGGGAAGGCGGGGGACGCCTGTTGCTTGAATTTGCCGGGCGCGGGAAACTTCGTAGGCTGTGCCGTATTTCTTGCTTTTCTTTTGGGGAGGTTTTGTTGGTGCTGTTGATGTGGGGGCTGGAGTTGCGATTTTGAGATGGGGTTGGGGTAGGTGCTGGGGTTGGGACTGACATTCTGCAGGAGGCGATTGTGGTTCTGTTTTTGATTGGCCTTGATGCTGGGGGGTAGGGACTGCTGGAAGTAGGAGTGTTGGTTTGTTGGGAGATGTTGGTGTTTGTTGATTTGTGCTTAGCTGGTGTCGGAGTGTTGTATTCGTTGTGTGCTCAGTTTCTTGAGGGGTGGTGTTTGTCGATGATGCCTCCTCCAGAATATTAACCTTTTCCGTAGATGAAAGTGGTGTGTTGGCCAACTGAGGAGGCTGAGAAGAATTTGGGGGGCATTTTCTCTTCTTGGCCACTCGTGATTGCGGATAGAGCTTGTTGCCTTTGGGGTGACCTGGTTTAGATATCTGGCCATGGTATGATCGAGAGGCGATTGAAGAAGCTGATGAAACCTGAGTGTTCTCCGCCTGATTTTGGGTGGTATTGGACTGATCGGTACCAGGGCCTAGACCGGAGCGGGTGAGTGTATGAGAGGAAGACCTACCACCAGGGTCTTGCGAAATAGGAGACGCTCCACCTTTGCCTTGAATATCTAATAGGGCGCTTGTTCGCGGACGCTCTCTTACGGTAGTAGTACCCTGGCTCTTAACAACTCTTGAAGCTGTTCGTTTTTCGTGGCCGGTGGTTTGGACCGATGGTGGTGGTGAAAAACGACAAGGTCCCGGGGTATGTCTATGCAGCATCAACAAGCCTACTACAGCATCGATCTCTGCCGTTGACAGATGATGAACGCCGCTCATATCGGTCAGAGCGTCCATGACCTTGAGTTTCACTTGCTGCCCATGGCTCTTCCAGGTAGTGTTTTGTGGGAGAGTGTCTAATTCTAGTGGTCTAAGTGGCTGAGAACGTCTCGCACGTGAAGATGGCTTCATATCGTCACGCAAAGGCTAATTGAACTCTTTGCCTTTTATCTGTCACTCCTCGGATATTTCTGGATGCTACATACATGAGATAAGAAGCGATCCTATTCGCAGTTCAACAATGGAGCGGGCAAGACGTCTGTTGAACCGAAGACTACCTACCTCTTCGTTGCTACGGGATTAATCTTTTTCGCTGACATGACGGTAGTCGAGGAATGTCCAGAGATGTTGCGAACAATGATAATTCAATAAGCGGGTAGTAACTGTTTTGTATGAGCGTAAAGCTTTATATGGCAGTCAGGCATAGAATACTTGGTGGTGTATGTGAGTGCTTTAGCTAGATGTTGGTTGGCAATCCTCAGACTGCTATCGACCGGTCCAGAACAAACAAGTACTTTCTACAAACAATTACAAGCTACTCCAGTGAACCCAAGTTTGTGCTTATAGCTCGCACGTACAGCGACATATGATTAGTGCCTCCACAATCTACCGATGGCGAGTGATGGTGAGGATGCTGGTAGGAGTTGGCTGGCGGGATGGGAGTCCCTGAATTTGTCCATCGGAGGACTTTATGTTAATCCATGAATTAGAATACCCCCAAGCTGTTACGTTGGCCATGGTATAGTATATGCTAGCAGTTTATGCAGGTGTTTGGAAAGCGTCGAGTGTTCTGTGTCATCGTGTATGGTAGTAGTAGGGTGTTGTAGGCTTGTGGTTGAGAGTCCAACTGCACATTATAGAGTCATGGTTAGGGACAATGTTTCAACCAATAACAAACGTGGTGTGCACGGTTGTATAGTGTAGCGGTTATGTCTTTTGTCATTTTTTTGCTCTTGATTTTCCTTTTTTCTTATATCTCTGTATCATGTGTGGCTTTATTTGGGTTTTTTTTTTTGTTTTTTTTTTTGGGGGGTAGTTGTTTCGGCCATGGTTTCACGGTGGCGCAAACTGTTTGTTTTGTTGTGGCATCTTGGACCGGAACTAGTTCAGGGGCATGAGCTTGGCTTGCCAAGATATTCAACGACATCTTGTGTTATGAGAGAAGTAACATATGGATTTCTAGAGTGTGTCATGGTGCAACAAACGGAATCCTATCATCTGCAAAGGTGGTTCTTGAGTCTTGTGATATTGCTTCAAATTCCAAAAATGCCAAATTCTATGGATATCTAACTGTTCGAAGAGAAATGGCGCAGTAAAACCAAGAGTGTGAGATGCAATAACCAACGTACAAGGAGATGATTCATATTTCATCATCCATCCAAAATCCCCACTCATAGTATTATTGATTATTGTGTAGAAAAGAACCGAAGAGGGGGAGTATCCATCGCAAAAGGCTCAAACTGGTATCAAAAGCCGACATCCAACTTTTATGAAACCATCACTATGCCCCGGGCTATTTTGTTGTTATTGTATCTGCCGTCAAACGATCCATCACTGGGGCTTCTCCGCCACAATCCAGTAACTTGTTGTAATGAGACGCATCCTGTCCATCTTAACAAACGCCTGGCCATCCAGACATAACCTGTTGATCAACGTCTTGAAGTGCTGGGGCAGGACCTTGATCTTCACAAGGCCCAGAATGATCTGGCGCATGGTGCGGAAGTAAATGTCGACCCGGTCAATGAGTGGTGCCTGCAGGCCGTCGATGCTGGCGTTCTCGGATTTCGTGACGACGAAACCAGCATCCTCAAGCGCCTTCTCGAAGCTCTTGGGTGTTGGTGTGCCGACGGCGCCGATGAGAGGCTTCACGCGCCTCATGAGCGCAAGGTGTTCGGGGTTGCTGGGGTCGTAGCCTGGCAAGCTGACCCAGTCGAGAAGAGAGACCTTGGCGCCCGGCTTGAGCACGCGATAGACTTCGCGGAAGAGGGCTGGGAGGTCCTTGCACAAGGACAGCGCTTGGATTTGGTAAAAGCAGTCGAAGGAGTTGTCGGCAAAGGGGAGTGGTAGCGTGTTCATGTCTTGTTGTACAAAGTTGTTCTTGAATCCCTTTTGGTTGTTGAACTCTTGTGCCTGGGCGACTTGGTTGGGGTCGATGTTGAGACCGGTAACTGTAGCGCCGGTCATGCTGGCCATATGAGCGGCCACGCGTCCTCGGCCACATCCTAGGTCGAGAACCTTGTCGCCGGCCTTCATGCCGATGGCCCTCGCGACGGCCTTCTCGTAAAGCAGCTGGTTCTCAATGACATTCGCCCTCTTGTCCATGTGGGGAGGGATATACATCTTCTCGACATCGCCCATGGCGCAGAGATGGTTGATGATTCCGTAGTAGGCTTTCAAGCACTCGCCGACCTTGGCCTGGTAGTCGGGGCCAAGTTCCTTGACCATGGCATCTTCGTCGGCCCAGTCAAGATTGTAAATGACATACGAGTGCATATAGTCATCTACCTGCTTTGGTGTGAGGTGGTGGATGTACTTGAAGGCTGAGCGGAAGGTCTTGAAGCGGTTTGTGGTAGATTGCCGGTCGGCGTCGTCAAGTCCTAGGGCATCTTGCTTTCTTGTCGATGGTGTCGCATTAACGGTGAGCTTTTGCTTCTCTTCGGCTATCCTGTCGATACCGTCGGAGCTATCCGAAGCCCGGTGCTGAAGTGAAACGGACATTGCGTGCAGATTTCTGGGTGCGGGGGAGGCAGTGCTTGAGCCCCGGATGCGGAGATGTGGGCGGGGAGAAGTTTTAAGGTTTTGGAATGGGGGTGGCAGAGCCCTTCGAGGTGGAAGATCAGGATGAGAGGACGAAAGCTGATGTAGAGGCCGGAAGCAAGTACAGCAAAACAGGCTGCAGGAGTTGCTTTGCTGTGAATTATCTGGTTGGTTGAGTAAAAAAGAAGTGAGAGGAGCAGAACTGAGGAGTGAAAGAAGAGTCAGTGGATAGACAAGTAAATATCGATTATGATATCAAGACGTGAATGGTGAGGAGCGGGAAATCCAGGTACCATCGACCCATGACACTATCACTTGCACGGGAAGAGCGGAGCTACTAATTAGAAAGAAAAAGTAAAAAGGCAAGGATGAGGATGGACAATGATCGGAGCATACTGTTAGCAAACTGGATCCCGAGAGGTCCGGGAGGTCCGGGAGCGCCGGATAAGTTCGGTCGGAAGTCGGGTCCAAAGGGTCGTCACCTGAGGATGGGTTCGCCGCGTCGCGACAAAGTTTGAAACGGTAGTGTATAATTCTTAGGCACTTAAAGAGGCCATGAAGCCGTCATGCTGAAAAAGGCTCGGGGCTTCACGAAGAAGCAGGAAGACCGTGGGTACCTTACTTGCGGATAGACGTTGGTCCATTAGTCATCTCTACCTTTGGTGTAAGACGCATGCATCATCCGTCATCCCACCCTCCGGTTTGCTGTCACAGCCGTTCTAGCAATGAGTGCCCCCCGTCTTACACAAGTGAGAGTGACAAAGTCGATAGGAACACCCAAACGTCAGGATTGTTTGTGTATTACCGCAGCTGCCGCCTTGATCGACGGCTATGGAGCAACGGGCAGGAACGGAGAGAGCAAGAAGGGGTCATTCCCTTGTGTTCCGGCCTCATGGACATCATATCCCCATCGTAGTCATCATGAACCCCGGCTGGAATCATGATGCGGTCGAGATGTATACATAGTAGCTTCGGCCCGTCTCGTGGGAAAGTTAGCGCCGGGTGTTCGTTGAAAAGTGCTTGTCTTCTCTGCGACTTTTTCTTTTGCATTTTCTCTCGATCGCTTCAGATAGAATCAAGAGCGATATCGGCGTGGTATGATCCGTGGACATGTTACAAAATGCCGTTGCGGGAAAAGACAGGGTCTCGAGCGCCGGGATCCCATTATCGGCCAAAACAAGCTCGGGAGAAGCTCTGACAAGATTTTCTCTGATGCCGGGATGACCTCGCGGTGGGACTTTCGGCGAATAGAAATAAAACAAGCTGGAACCCTGAGTGTTGAGCAGAGCGTATTTTACCTCATCTCCTCGTTGCTGTTGACCTGACGAATCAACATGATATCATGCCGGCTTTGGATAGTACGATTTGTACGTGAGCTGTATGGCCGGCGAGAGGAGATGGCCGGAGTGTTCGGTTGTTTGGTCCCGTTCGGATCGGCATCTGACACGTTAAAACCGTCAAAGACAATGCCGGGCGTGTTACCGATTGCTCGTCAACGGGATTATGACGCTATCGTCCCGGACATCTTCGCTAATATTTTGAGCCGACCGGGCGAGACCAGCGGCTGCGGACCAACCCGAAGGATCATCGCGAACACATTGAAAATGTGAGTGACTTGAAAGGGTATTTCTTTTTTTTGAGTTTGGCATGTTGAAGTTGGATCTGGTCGTTGGTCCAGGGCATGAGGTTACAGTACACCCGGGCTAAAAGATTTTGTTGGAGTCCCGCTCGGGCTTGAAATGACGCACAGTCTGCGGCTTCCGTTGCAGGCGGGTGTTCCAGTGTAACTTCTTCACAGACAGCCAGCCCTATAGGCCAGTATCTTCAGCGGTCTTGGATACGGAGCGCTCTTCGCACCCTACTAATGCCGATAACAGATTTTGCGTTGTTTTGGTGCAGAGAATGTTAGTGAGTCGGTGCGTTAGATCCACCAGTACAGTGCAATCAAGTCACTCTCACAAACGTCCATTGCCAGCCGAAGCAAAAGCCCTCACATCACCATGTCTCACGACCGCGACGAACTTGTCGAGATGGCATGAAGATCTGCGAATCCTCCCGAAACCCACATTCCTCGATCTTGGTTGACCCAATTCTCATTTTCCCGACATCGCCAACAACCTGTAACCTACGGCATCAACTATGTGAAAGCGGTTGATCACCCCAAAGGCATCGACACTGAAGACACTGCTAGCTGAACCTTAGCTGGATTCTGCGATACTCATGAATGGAAGCACTTGTCGGCATCTGTCATACTCCCGCACGAATATGATAGGTATACCGGCTACTGGCCAAACATGGGTTTTCGTGGGAGCCCACCAAGGTAAACTGAACAGTAGCTCACAACAACAAGAGTGAGCGATGGACATGTATGCTAGAACAACCATGGAACAAGACATACACTTTCCATGGCGACAGTTGGTTCCTAATGTCCGCCGCTTTGGATGGACAGGCAATCCGGGAAACCAGCAAACACACCTTCTTGTCCCAAATGAAAGGTGTTGATCGCGGAGATACGAAGATGAGATGGGCAAAGATGGGGGAGGCAGAGCGCTCGCTACTGTTATCAAAGACGATCATAAAGCCATGGCCAACAAGACGAAGACCACATTGACGCTGGAATACCAGCGCTTCTGTTACTTTTTGTCCTTTGTTGTGCCACCTTCGTCCAACACCACCTCTGCGTCTCCTGCATGAACCGCACAAGGACACTCTGATATCACTCACCCATCTGACTGCAGCAATTATTTTCTAGTATTCCTGGTTTCCTTGAGGTACTGGATCTCATTCCGAAGAAAAGCTGGCGCCAGGGGTGCAGCTCGCCAAAGGCTGGCGCTAGGCGCAAAGGAGTCCTTTGAGCAATCAACCACGCTTTCCTAAAATGGGGTTGAATAGAACCTCAATAAGCACTTTGTTGCTAACCCCTAAATTTGCCGCCACTCGACCACACCGCATTGTCCAAGCAACCACGGTGACTCTTTTGTTCTGCCCCCGGTCTTTATTCTAGTAGGACGGTGCATCTCACGTGGCATTAAAGTTAAGCGCCTCTTGTGCATCCTCATCTTGACCTCACCCTTGCTTTGTCTTCCTGCATCTTACCTTCTTCAGACCCCCGGATTCTCCCCGAGTGACCGTAGCACCCGGCTGCATGAAGCACCCTCGACTACTCGGTCAGTTCCGTCCTGCAGGCCAGACATCATTGGGCGAGCACCGAGTCCCAGCGAGCTTGACCTGAACGTCTTCATCCGAACCTCGATCTTCGTGAAACCACAACGTTTCCGACACCTCGGGACCGAGCTTTCATCCCTTCGAATCCTCAGCAGTGGCATTTCATCCCAACTATCGGAGAATGTGGCTCCATCTCCAGGCTCCATGAAAGCCTTCCTCTGAATAGAGGTCTGAATAAACCATTGACCGATATGCTCTCGACCTCCACCAAAGCAAGCCCTTGATCTCAATAACGACACCATCACACGAATAACAAACATGTCGCTTTCACGATCTTTGCTTGGTTCTGGACCGGCCGGTCGTCTTCTTTAACCGAACTCCCTCCCTCGTGGCCGCCGCCCCTTGAACGATCCTGGTTGCCAACAAGGTTTACCTTCGATTCTATACAGAACGCAGTTGACTAACCAAGCCATCACAGACTTCGACAGCCGTGATAGTTTGGATATAAAAGATGGAGTTGATCACCTCATAATTCATCTTTTTTTCCTCACCACCTTTGACATCGCCAATCAACCCTTCAGAGGTCTTCATTCTCTAAATCATCTTACCATTCTTCTTTCCAAGCCTTCTTTCAAGATGAAGTTCACCCTCCCTCTTGTCATCTTCGCCGCCGTGGCCTCCGCCACCCCGGTTGCCCAGCCCATCGCTGAGGCCGAAGCCCAGTGGTGTCGGATCCATGGCCAGTCCTGCTGGAAGGTCAAGCGTGTCGCCGAGGCCTTCTCCACCGCCATCCAGGGCATGGGTGGTCTTCCGACCAGCGACGAGTCCGGCCATCTTCCCGCCCAGGTCGCCAAGCGCCAGGTTGACGAGCTCGCCGGCATCATCGCCCTCACCCAGGAGGACGTCAACGCCTACTACGACTCCCTCAACCTCCAAGACAAGTTCGCCCCCTCCACCGAGGAGGAGAAGAAGGACGAGAAGGTCGCCAAGCGCGACGCCGAGGCCGAGGCGCAATGGTGCCGGATCCATGGCCAGTCGTGCTGGAAGAAGGCCAAGCGCGAGGCTGAGGCTCAGTGGTGCCGGATCCATGGCCAGTCTTGCTGGAAGAAGAGAGATGCTGCTCCCGAGGCTGCTCCTGAGGCCAACCCGCAATGGTGCCGGATCCATGGCCAGTCCTGCTGGAAGGCCAAGCGCGCCGCCGAGGCCGTCATGACCGCCATCCAGTCCGCCGAAGCCGAGTCCGCTCTCCTCCTCCGTGACACCACCTTCAGCCCCGTCGACCGTGTTGGCAAGCGCGAGGCCGATCCCCAGTGGTGCCGCATCCACGGCCAGTCCTGCTGGAAGCGCTATGCCTCCCCCGAGGCGGCTTGCAACGCCCCCGACGGCTCTTGCACCAAGGCCACCCGTGACTTGCACGCCATGTACAACGTCGCTCGTGCCATCCTCACTGCTCACTCTGATGAGAACTAGGTTAGTTTTTACTTCCTCCTCAAACCATCCTACCCAACCAGATCACACATGTACTAACCCGCACATCCTCCTTCAGATTTCCCACCATGAAAATATTCTTCTTCTCTCCTGAAAAGCAGGCATGACCACAAAACAAGAGGGGCAAAATAAGGCTTGGATATAACTTTTTGCCACCCTCTTTACAACTTTCACTTCTGGAAAAAGAAACATCACATACACATACACAGAAAAGCTTTTATGGGGTTCTTCACACACCCTTAACACATAACCGGGATTGGATATGTCGAATAAACTTGTACAATCCTGTTTTTTTATCAAATCAATCATTCATCCTCCACCATGATGAGGACCAGCGGGAAATGATTGGGGGAAGATATTTGGGAACGGGCAATGTACTTACACTAGCTAGTTTCTGATCTGACCCTTTCAGTATCTCGAATTCAAGGACAAGGCTCGCTTGCTGATTGATGGCGGCCTTGGGTATTTTCCTTGACATGTTCTTCTCTCCTTGGTGCAGTGACTTGCTTCTTTCTCGTGACATGTTTTCTTGTTTCATCTGTGTTTAGGAATTTGCGTGCGCATTGCTTGGTGACTCTTTGAAACTCTTTTTCTGCTGTTACTGGTTCGGTGTTTGACCGTCTTAAGGTATGACCATCAAGCTGTCGGTTGTTGGGTGAGTACTGGCCTAACTGTTGTTTTGAAATACAGTTTATACAAGTTATTGCGTAGTAGAAGGGGATAGCGAAGTAGAAGATCTGCACCATTGGCAAAAGTTCGCTCGTTAGGTCACTGGAGGATTTGAAGGCGATGTGGGCTCGCATGAGGATAATGGCTTGAAGTATAATTTCGCTGGACCTCCTAATTTTGAACAATAGTCAACGACTATCCAGTCGGGAGAAGTGTAATGTGTAAGTTATGCTACATATACATTGATTACTAATTGCAATGCGATGCGGTAGACCTAAGCCAAGTATCGGTACGTCGACGAGTCTCCTTCTACCCGCTCCAGATACTCTCTCGCGAGAAGATCCTCAATTCGTTTCTTGATTAGCGGTACGTCAGGCTTGAAGCGGCCCATAAGTTGCGAGATGACCTCGTTAACGAGCTGGGTATGAGCCAGTTGCTTGCGTTGCCTGCCAAGAAGACGATGGTTAGCTTCCGGAACAAATGCATACACACACATGTGTTGGGTAAGGGCAAACTTACTTCATGATTCTGACAATCGCCGCATCAATAACATGAGCACGCGTCTGATCATTCTTCCTTTCCGTCTCCTTTCTCTCCTCGTCCCCTTCGACCTTTGAAATGCTGCTGATGACGGGAGCCTTGATCCTGATAGCCTTACTCGCAAACTGTGCGTTGTAGAAGAACTTATCGGTGTTCTTCACGTTCTTGGTGGCCGGTTCCTTGAGCAAGACTCTGCATTTGGGAACACTCGAAAGTGAAGCCAGAGTTCGCATAAGCTCTGGTGCCGGAATGTTCGTCTTAGCTTGGATCTCGTCAAAGCTCAAACTTTCGCCGTCCGCGAGATCGTTAAAAAGCAAAAGCACAATCATGCCATATGTCGAGACGTTCAGCTCATATCGCCTCTCCTTGCTCAATGGTCCGGTCTCCTTGCCGGGGACCTTGGGGAACACACACTTGACGTCCGCATTGCCCGCCGAGCTAACCCATGTGAGGACACGCCCGCTCCTGTCCTTGAGGTAGTACTTGTAGAAACTCTCCTGGAGGCGCTTAATTTCAGGTGGGTAGAAGCATTCCGTTTTTTGCCCTTCATCCTTCGATTTGCCACCGCCCATAACCTCGGGTGGCCAGTTGTTGGTCGTCAAGACGTTGATGTTGAGGTCAATCTTCCTATTATCGGCATCACCTAGATTGGCGATATGATCGCGGTAGTTGTCGGTTAGATCCTTGGACAACTCCATGTCCTTGAACATGCCTTCAAACTTGGATGTGAAATGGTTGCCCATTTCGGACTTCATACGGGATACCATCTCCTTCTCGGTATGGATCTCAGACTTCCCATGCAGTAACCGCTTGGCCAGATGCTTCTGGTAATACCTCTCGAACATGTCTCGGTCCGAAAGATACCTGAGAAGGACAATGGCCTTGTCTAAAACAGCGTCTACTTCCGCTTCCGTCTTTGTCTTGATGCCACGTTTGAGGTTGTCGTCAATAAACAGCGAGACATATTCCGAACTGCGGTTGAACGAGTTGATGAAATCAGCGAAGCTTCGTGTAATCGCGGATTGTAGCAGGAGGTCATCGCAGAAACAGTCGGACAGGATTCTGTCGAATTTGTCCTTGAGCTGCAAAACGTCATCAACCCACTTGATAGCGGCTGCAGTCTGCTGCTGAGCCGGATTCAAGGTCTGGGCTTTGGTCTTCTCTGCTCCTTCTCCAGCATCCTCACCATCCCCAGCAGCTGCGCCAGCGACGGAGAAGTCGGTGTTCTTAAGGGCCTTTTCGATTTCCTGCCCAAGCTCCCGTACTCTACGTTGTAGAATGACCTTCAGCGCCGATTTCGTGCTGTCCACCCTGGATATAAGTTGGTACAAGATCGAGAGGTCTTCCAATCGATCATTGTCGATCATAGGCTTCAGGCCGCTACCTTCCATGGCCAGGAACACATCGAGCTTTGCTTCGATGAGCTCTTTCTCCACCACACTCGCAATCTTGTCGGTCGTCATAATCGATACAGCAGTGCCACATCGCTCTCGTTCCTCGTTTAGTCGCCGTTGGGCATGGCGGAGCCATGTGCTGCAATTTGCTTCTTGAACCAGCTTCTCGCACTCTTTGCGATAGAACTCTGTGCTTGCCTCGAGATAGCGTGGTTCGAAAAGGGTGAGGTAAAGCCGCTGGTTCTCAATTTCGTCGTCGGTCTCGTATAAGCTCTCGAGCATCGTGGTGATCTTGCGCACAAGGTTTCGGTTGATGATGTCGCCGTCGCGCTCCATGTTGATCAGGCCCAATATGACGGCGCAAAGGATATCAAAGATGACGAAGTCTTGCTCGATGTCGTCTGCGGCGGTACCAGCGTGGCTTTGAAGGACATTGTCTCTAAACAGCCCAATGGTAACGGCAAACAGAGAAGGCTGCTTTGTCTCGAGGGTATAGACACGGTCGAGATACATGAGCACGTCCGCAATCATGTTCATTGACCTGTTGTGATCCGTCCATGTGTCTCGTATTCCGCGGAGGAACTTCTCGCCCATCTCCCTGCGCTCATGTGAGCTCGACCCCGGGTGCTGAAGCAGCGATATGTTGATCAGATTCTTTGTGATCAGGGCGGCGATGTTGGGCATGATGTGGTCTCGGAACCACTCCTGCTCAAAATCCCTGACCCTCTCGTAGAGCAGGGCGCCCTTCTTTCGAAGGACAATCTTGTACGAGGCTCGGTATAGTTGTTCGAAGGACAGACGGCCGGCGTTCTGTAGGTGAATATCGGTCATGGCGTCGCGCAGGAGTGCCCAGCATGGCTCGAACTCGCCCTGGTCCCGATTCATGATCGGCTTTCACTTTTGTTAGCTTCCACTGCAGGGCGAGGACGCCTCGGTCGCATAAACAAAAGCAAGACACACACCTTCCTAATTGGCCGGATCTTGTTGGTTCTTGACGCCATGGTTGCGACCTTTGTGCTCGATTGTTAAAGCGAATCGCTTTTTGTGAATAGTGAAGTGGAAGTCTTGCGGGCGTAACCCCTCCTATAGCTATATTGTCATGCAGTTGTAGCCGGTGACTACACTTGGTATCGACGGCGTGTACGTGAACGTATGATCGTGAAGAAGACGCGTGATAGCTAATGGGCTTTGGCGATCGTGGCCGACGAGTTGTTTTGGATGAGAATCACCGAGGAAGTTGTTAGAACGAGCTGAATAGCCAGGGCGGGCAGGACAAGCTCAAAGACTTGGAGGGGTTCGTTATGCGATTCGCTGCGGCGATGTACGCGACACAGTCTTCGGGCCGCGGAATACAGAAAACGTTTGGTGACCCGTTAATCGTAATGTATGAGAACACTCGGGGAAAGAAGAATAAGATGGAGGAGTCAAGAAGAAGTGAAAAGCCGAGGAATGAGAATTGCCAGAAGTGGCAAACGCAGAGAAGTGATCGAGGATTAAGTTAGTAATGGAAGGGTAGACACGGTACGATTTGATAGACGGGAAGGTCAGGCACGCCGCCGATAGTTGTGGGGCTCCAGAGGCAGGTACTACTTTCAGCAGAGCTAAAGAGCTTACAGCAGTGTGTTGTAAGCATATGTTAATACATGCTGCCTATCAGCTTAAACTTTAAGATACCTAGTGTTAATTACAAGGTAAACAAAAAAAACTCCCGTCCAACAATATCTGAGAATCATCAAGATAAAGAGAACAGCCTTCCCTTCCTACACTTCAACATTGGCAACATCGCCGGTCGCCGGAAAAGGCGTGGACTGCGAACTGTTACAGTGGGGGAAATGCACTAACGGATGGACATTCTGCAGGGATCCTTATCGATAAGAAACATTTCGACAGGGGCGGTTCGCGATGCTTATGGAACTCTACAGCGCATGACGAAACCGACCGGCTTCTATCCGAATCTATCGCATTTTATCGTTTTTTTTTTCTTCCCAACATCTTCGATTCTCCCCTGACATTCTCACCAACGGGATCTCAACACCGGCCCAAGACCCTCACGTACACCCTCCAACCAATAGTCATGGCCTCCAAACGTGCAGCGACCTCAACACTGCCCTGCATTGCCCGACTCTGCTCAGCGCCGGCGCAATCGCTAAAAACCACCACAACGCTCGTACGCTCTTATAGCCCCCAGCGTCAGCGACCGGTACCAACACCACTATCACAACAAATACAGCAACTACAGCAACAAATCCGACTAGCACACACCATCCCTCGTCCACGAAGCCAGTCCTCGACCTCCTCGACCACATCCGCCGGCTCCTCCTCCCCCGAACCCTCCTCAGAAGAACAACAAGCCAAGCGCGACATCTCCCAAGTCCCGCACTACGAGCTCACATTCACCTGCATTCCCTGCGACCACCGGTCCAAGCACAAGGTCTCCAAGCAGGGCTACCACCACGGCTCCGTGTTGATCTCGTGCCCGAACTGCCGCAACCGCCACGTGATCAGCGACCACCTCAAGATCTTCGGGGACCGGAAAATTACGGTCGAGGATCTGCTGAAAGAAAAGGGCATGATGGTCAAGAAGGGGACGCTGGGCGAGGATGGCGACGTGGAGTTTTGGGAGGATGGGTCGGTGACTCCGCGGGAACCCGCTCCGGAGCCGGAAAAGCCAAAGGTTGTGGACAACAGTCCGCCCGGGTCGACTTTTAAGAGTGTGAGGCCTGGGGATAAGAAGGAGAGGTCGGAAGGTTCGGAGAGCAGTTGAGTGGGCGGTAAATAAGGGTGGTACCTTGTGCCTTTGGAGATGGGCATGCTTTTGCACATTGTTGGTTACGGCTACCAAGAGCAGCAGTACCGGCCCATCTCATGGACATCTTGCACTAGGCGAGCGATGCTGATGACGATGCCGTGTACTTCAGGACGCCGGTTAACCAGAACCGCCCGAGGAGGATCTGGTCGGGTGATTACCCAGAATCGGATGGGACACCCCCGAACGGTGGTTGTTTGAAATACAACACCCATAATTCTGAGGAAAGGCGGGCTAAGGGGTAAAGAACTGTCCAGGCCGGCCGGAGAGAAAGAGGAGCCGTGACAAGCGGATGTGACTCTTGGGAGGTCTGGCTTTTGGAGTCACTGATAGATTCGTCTGGGTTTCGATAGAGGCGGCAAGGAATAAGACGGTCAGCGCAACGGATACGCGTTATGTATTGCCGTTGCGGGTCGATGTATTTGGCGTTAGCATACCCGGTGTTCAGAGTCTCACTCTCTGTCTGTACAATATCTTGTAAATGTATACAAAACTTGGGGGAAAGCGTTCGAGTGAACTAAGAGTGCATCCCCTCAGCCAAATCAAAAGAGAACAGAACGAACGTATTCATGATTCTACAACCAACCATAAAACGCTCCAAAACTCTCCGTTACCCACCAGGGGGTGATCATACCGTACCTACCCGTATGGTCATGATTATCAATCACGTAGTGAAGCATGTACCATAGAATAGACCGCTGCTGCAAGACGAGACAATCACACTGAACACCACGCCGGTACTTCTAGCAACTTTAGCCAAAACAACATACACTGGTATTATCATCAAGCTGACCTATCAACACTACTACCTCGAAGTACACTACTCCTGTGTCGTCGCCGCAGCACCAGCACTGGCACTAGCACTAGCATGGCTCTGGCACCAGTTAAGCCAATCCGAGAAGAAGGCCGGCTGGATCTTGACCTCGCCCTTGAACCACTTGAGCTGCGAATCCGCATACAGCTCAAACACCTCGGCCGTCTTCCCCCTCGCGACCAACACCGAGGCAATCGCCAAGCTGGCCGTCGACGCCGCCTTGGCAAAGGCATGCGACCCGTCCTTGGGCGCCTCCAAGTGCACCTCCTGGAAGGTCACCACGAGGTCGTCGACCTGCTCTTCGCTGATCTCGCCAAAGTTGCTCTTGGCCTTCTTCAGGGACTTGGAGAAGTTGTTGATCATCTCGCATGCTTTGTTGGCCAGGGGCTTGGTGGTCGTGGTGCGGATGAGCTCCAAAAGAGGGAGCAGGACCTCGAAGGCGAGCGGGTTGGCGACGGCGGCTTCCTTCTTGATGAAGATGGCGAGCAGGTCGAGGACGCGGTGCTTGAAGTTGATGACTGTCTCTTTGGCGTCCTTCTTCTCCTTCTTCTTGGTGGTGTTGGCGGCCTTGGCGCGGTGCTTGAAAATCTCGGCCAGCTTGGCGTCGACTTCCATCATTTCGCTGTCGGACATGTCGGATTCGTCTGAGGTGTCGGGAGCGTCGGCGTCCTTGTCGAGACGGTGGCTGCCGAGGGCTTCGGCTAGGGCGGTGTCCAAAGCGTCGAGGGCTTCTTGGTTTTCGTTTTCGGGCTCCTCTTCGTCGTCGTCCTCGTCGTTTTCGTCGTCAGATTCGTTGTCGCTGGCTTCGTCGTCGGAGCCAGCTTCTTCGAGGTTGACGATTTCTACGTCGGAATCGAGTTCTTCGTCGCTTCCGTCCTCCTCGTGGTCGTGCTCGTCGTCCGAGCCTTCGGCATTGGCCATGTCCTCGTCCTCAGTGCTGAAAAGCGCCTGCTGACCCTTGGCACTCTCTTCAGCGGCCAGGGGGTCGGTCAAAAGCTTGATGGCTTCGGGCGACATGAGGTTTGTGAAGGCTTCGAAAACCTGCTGTGATACCTGCCGCATGAGCGAAGACGGGCGAGCAACCATGGCCAGAAGGATTTCCACCAGGAACTCGGCGATGCCCTCGCCGCCCTGAATGCCCTCGTCGCCGGCAAGCTTGTCGTAGCACTCCTCGAGCTCTTCGAGAAGGTTCATGACGTCGGGGTCCTCATTGTAGAACTGCAGGATGGCGACGGCGTACAGCAGGGCGAGAGCCTGGCGGGGGGCTTTGGTGTCCTTGGTGTCTTTGGCAGGATCGAGCAAGTCCTTGAGCTTCTCGTAAGCCTCAAGAACGGCGCCGCCGATCTCGTCCTCCTGGTCAAGGTCGGCCTTGATGGACAGGATGGCGCCGCAGAGGTGGCCGAAGTCTTCGGGCCTCTTCACAAGCTTGGCGAATGCAGAGGTGGTCTTGGTGCGGAGCGCCTCCTTGATGCTGGCGGGGACTGACTGGTTCGAGTAAGCCAGTTCTGTGAGGACCTCGATCGCTGACCCGGGAACAGAGACGCTTGAGGTGCTCTCCTCGTCGGATGGTACGCTGGAGAGTCTGAAAAGGTAGCTGCTCAGGGACTGGTAGTACTTGGTCTCATCGAGACCGCTCTTGGAGAAATCCTTGAGCTGCAAAGTCTTAAGAACCTTCTTGATGGTCTCGGGGGTGGCATGTTGCAGAATCTTGTCGACGGTCTTGGTGTTGGTCCGTTGATCAAAGTTGTACACGCCGTTGTGGCTAAGAAGCTGACGAAGAATGGTCGGTAGTAGGGAGGGATCGCGCTCGACGGTAGCTTCGATTCCTTTGAGGGCTTTGATCGCCGCGCGGTGAAGATACCTGTCTTCCTTGGCAGCTTGGTTCATGAGACAAGTCATGAGGTTCTGGCTAAATACGGACTCGACGATGAAGGTCTGGCCGGCTGCGCCTTCAAGCATCCGCTGAAAGATCATGAATCCGGAGAACTTCTGGCTGTCGGACGAGGTCTTGGAGAAGAATCCCTCTGATGAAACTTGTTAGCTCACGATTTTGTCAGAGATATGACACAGTGATACTTACCATCAACAACACGCTTCCAAAACTGCTTGAACTGCTCAGCGGCATCGGACTTGTCCTTCTCGCCAAGCTTAAGGAAATGAGTAAGAATCAAGTTCCAGACAAAGTGCAACTGGGCAGTCCAGTTACCTTGCTTCTGTTTCTTGTTACCTGCTTGATCGTTAGAGGTATCTCTACCACTGTCCTTCAAGACAGCAGGAAGAGAGGTAAGGGAACCAGCCTCGAGAGGGCTTCGCCACGGCTGTTTGGGCACCTTCATGTCTGGGAAGCGATCGAGAGCGGCAATCCAAATACCAACACCTTCAGGGGTCTTGGCCACCCCTTCATCGGCGAGTCTCTGTAGCGTTTCCTCCGCAAGTTCAACCTCCATCTGGGAGATGGCCTGCACAATGATCCAGCCGCATTGAGACTTGAGCCATGACTTCTTTTGAGAAAGCTTGAGGACCAAGTTGAGGACGGCCTCCCACCTCGACTTATCGGTGAAGAGGATGCCGGCGCGAACAAAGCATTCGATGCCAAACAACTGGCCAAAATAGTGATCCCTTTCCTCCTGACCATTGCCACTGCCTCCAGCATCGGTTTTCTCAACCAGGATACCCAGAACCTTGTCGAATGTGAGCCCAGTGTACTTGGACCCAGCAAGGTACTTTTCTCCAAACAGCTGACCCAGAATCTCTGTCAAGACCAGACTGAAGCCCAGACGGGATGCATTCCTCCCGCTGGCGAGACCGCGGAACAGACGCCCCGCAAGATGGCGGAAAAGGGTGGGCTCCTCGACGCCATCGCCTTCCAAAAGACCAGCGATAATGATGCTGGCCGCCTCAATGCGTTCGTTTTGGTCTTCGCTGCCAAGCTGAGTGTACAATGCAAGCTCTCTCTTGCGGTCCTCAACTGTGGGGTGTTCCGTGAAGGGCGCTGGCTTCTCCTGGACTTTTGAAGCCTTGGTTTTTGTCGTTGAACCATTTGTTACTGGGGTCTCCTTCTTTGATCTTTTCTGAGAAGGAAGGCTGTCATTCTGAGCCTCCTTCGGCGTGCGTTTCCTTTTGTTGGCCATTTTGTCTGTCGATGGATGTTGTTGTGAGATTTGATGACAACTTCCTGCCCGGGTTCAGGTTGTCAGTGGATGCAATGCCAGTATAAACAGCTGCCGGCCATCATCGCAGTCTCCTGGAAATTTTTAGTGGGGTCGCTGTGGTTCTGCCTGCTTCTACCGCTTCGATCATGAGATGCTTTCTTTTCTTTAAATGCATATATAGAGAACGCAGCCATACGATATTCATCAATCGATGCTACGAGAAACGTCCTGTTTCATTGCTTTCCCTCCGTCTTGATGACAACCTCCACCCTTCCATTGCAAATGTATCTCAGGCGGAGGAAAAGGCAATGTCTCTTGTCATATTCCCTTGATATTTCGGAGGAGATTTGTGCCACTCACTCGAAGAATCATGACCTGATTCTTCTGAACGGTCTGAATGCACCAAGGACTGTTATCATGTGATTTCGCGTTGCCCCACGCGTCGTCGTGCCATGTTTGTTTACATCTGTTGCTTCACATTGTGAGATCAGTCATGTTGCTCGTTGCTCGTGCTCGTTGCAAGCGATAGTAATCGGGAACCAACCGAAACTTGGGCGAGACATCGATCAGAAAATGCCAGATACCATTGAGAACTGAAAAACACAAAAAAAAACAAAAGGGACCGATCATATGCCGAAATGCAACAACGGCTGTGGAGTCTCGCCGGGAGACAACCGTGCTCATCACCATTGGGATTTTCCCGAAGCTGGCATTCAGAGGCTCCATCACAGTCGAGTTTCTAAAGTCGTTTTTTGGTGCATTTGTGAAACCGTATCCCAATTTCTGTGAAATCGTTCACAATATTTTGATCATGGAAACATGGCAGACGAGGTGGCTGTTCGAGAGCTTCATTGACTGATTGGAAAGAAAAGTAAATGAAGATCGAGGACTCCTTTGTATGTTGTTGATGGCCAGAAGGTAATTCTTGGTATTCACAACCTTTGACATTGTTTCCGAGTTCCGATCCCTTCCGGATATCCCTTTCTTGTCCA